CCCCAACTTCCTCAGTTCGGCTGTTTTTGCATACCACTGAGTTACGGTCCCGCTTTTAACTATCGTGATCGCGGCAAGCGGCAAAGAAGCGCGTTCATCATTGAAGCTCTGACCACTCAGCTTGTTCAATGGAATGCGAAATTGTGTTTAGCATTCGAAACCGCATACACGGAATTCATCTCGTCAGGCAATGCAGTTGCGACGAAATGGTATCTCTTTTTTCTATTAGATTAATGAATCAGCTACACTGGCCAAGTTCGAACTCATGAAGAGAAGTTCGTCGAAAGTTTATAATTGAGAAGGCTCTTGTATATTGAATAATGCTCGCCGATATCTATAGTGCAAAATATTCTTCATTTCCAGGGAAAACTCTTCGAGACTGTCAGCATATTTACTTGCGTCTCAAGGATCTTATCTTCGATGGCTGGACTCGGCCCTATAACTCCTCTGTACTTGAGATGTTCATGAAGGAAGCAGTCGGCGAAGCGAATTTGAATGAGATCGAATCTCCAAGGTGAAATTGATGTGATTGAACAACTGTTGAAACTTCATTTGAGAGTGATATTTCTGTACTTGATGGACCTCCAATATTTTTCTTCTGTTCGCTGAATGGGGTACTGTGTTATCATAAACTATATTTCAAGGACTGAATAATGGGTAGTCCTCACGTTTCGTACCGGGTCAATCATCCGGCGCCTAGCGGATACCGAACAGGAATTCACACAAAGTGCTTTTACGATTAGGTCGTGAAGAAAGTTCTTGCGTTTTTGCGCCTCAAACTTCAAATGCACATATCTCGGCTTAATCAAAAGTTCATCAGTCGAAATAACAACCATTACTATCGATACACTTTTGTAAACGAAATTAAGTTTGTTTATCTTATTCGCATAGAAGTCCGGAGATCAAGAGGCGATGAAATCGTCGAATGCCGCGGTAGCATCATGTTGGGTTTTGGAGCGCAAGGTCTGAGGAATGTGGTCGATGGGGGAGAGTTTCATAGCCTAGCTCCATCAATTTTCTCAGGGTTAGTTGTGCGACGTGGGGCTGAGCGCTGTCGTGGAGTAGAATTGGCCCCTTCCTATTCACCAGTGCCGGGCTCATGAGCTGGAGTTTTCGATGCATTTCGTCAACTTCTTGACAGTACTTTTCGGCTACGGTTTTACCCGGATCCATGAAGCTGTGGTGGATCAGCCCGGCTGCAGACCACCAAACATCACCATGACCTTCTTTCCATGCTGCTTCGGCTTGGGAAAATGTCGTGGGGCTTGATGCTTGTTCAGATACTGACTTGATCGTCGCCGATTGTCGTACAAAATTCATTTCTCATCACACGTCACAATGCGGTCTAAAAATGGATCGTTCCTGTTGCGCAGAAGCAAGGCGGAGGCGAGCTATAAGTAGCGGTCTTTCTGGTGCTGATTCAACTCATGCGGCACCCACTTATCAAGCTTCTCCAGCTTCCCGATCTCCTGCATGTGGGTGCCAACCGTCCTGCTGGAAACATTCAATCTCGAGCCAATATCCTTCAGCGTTGTGTGTGAATTCTCTTCCACTAACGTTCTCAATTGTTCGTTGTCAATGGCCGATGACCGCCCACTACGCTCATCATCTTCCAGGCTCTCATTGCCAGTACGAAATTTTTCAAAACACCACTGTGCTCTACGTTGATTCGTCGTACCTACACTAAGGGCATCGTTGATATCCCGGGCCGTTTCAGTCGCACTCCTGCCTAATTTGAATTGGAAAAGATAAATCGTGCGAACTTGTCGTTTGTCCATGCTGATTTCGACCTACTACAAAACCCCAGGAATCACTCCAGGACAAACCAATTATATATTTGAATAGAGCAAGAAATGCGCTTCAGAATGGTATGAAGCTTGCAAACAATCTTATAGCAAATAACACCGCGGCGAGCATTTGAAAATTGGGCGTCAAAAAACGCAAGAAGTTTCTTCACGACCTAATAAATTGATGGAAAATATGTTTGACAGGTGTGGGCGGACTTTCACGGTCATCGGATTCTCACACATTGTTAAGGGCAGGCGACTTCAGTTAAGTGTGTAAACCCCACGGTCATGATGCTGCTTGCTTATCGTTAAAAGGCGAGTGAAACATGAATAGCTTATGAGCGTACCAGCAGTAAGACAGTGAAGCGTCTGCAGAAAAAAACTTTTTGAACCGAAAATTTTCAATGTTATCAGCGAGTTTTATTTTCGTGTGAAATGTGAAACGCTCTGTACTTAAAGTCGCGAGTGAAAGCATGTAGCTACATTTTCCCATGAAATGTTTGCGTAGAATTGGCCAGATTCAAGGTGAAAACTAAACAGTCTGACATTTGTAGTTATCAATTTGTTTTTTATTATTGAGAAAATTAAGGCTGCTCTGCAATAGGAAGTTTTGGTTGAATTTACTTACTCTGCATGAAAGTAAAACTGAAAATTATCTTGTCAGAAGTATAACCTCTCTACAAGCTTTTCGTTTTGTTACACTTATTATTATCTTCAGTTATCAGCTCTTTAACTGGCTCAATAATGTTATATAGGCAGCAGAATGACCATCAAGTCACCACACCTGATTAAGGTTGTCTCGCGCAGAATTGCAAAGTGCCCTCTATCGTAGAAAATTTCCCTTACCCTGTTTAAAAATAGTACGGTAGTGAGTTGGGTTGACATAAATGAATTCCTACTAAGATAATCTTCTTAGTCGCCTTCGGTGTAACCCGAGCATTAGTTGTTTTATTAGTGTACTATGCCCTTTGGCCGGTTTCTCATGGCGGGCATTATATTGGCTGACATGTTGACAAGTTCGCATTCTCAGAGCCCAAAGCGTTTCAAAACTTCTTGGAGTGTTATATAATACACTTGACACAGATCGATTCATAGCTGGTTCGCAACTCAGACGAAAGAATTCTCAAGAGAGTTAGAATGTAGGTCGTATCTTCTTCTGTGTTGTTTTTCCAATGCTCACACAGTTTGATATAAAACAGAAAACACCACACCTACTAATTAATAATGCGTGTGCGACCGAGCAGTGCAATCTATCCTAGTGAGCTTGATGTGAATGATCTTTGCTGAGATTTCAGCTCTGTTTGAAGTTCTCCAATCTGAGTTCAACTTGTACGAGTCATCCTGCACCATGCGTGATAGGCATATTCCAAAAATTTCCGAAACGCAAATGTATCGAAATGTTAGCAAATATAAATGTTTCGTCGTAGAGATTCTTTTTGACGTAGGAACGATATATACACACCAGTTGGCCTCCTCACGCTAACGCGTGCATCATCACAAAGAACGCATTGACCGGAAATGAATTTATTGACCTGAGCTGCACCCCTAATGAATATGACTTCAGGATGTGGTTTATAAATTAATGCATAAAGTTAGATAACGCTCCGCTCACCGTGGGTAAATCTTGATGTTGATTCAGTGCTAAACTTTGCCCATTTTTTCCATTTCATTTTTTGATTTTTTTCCATTTTCTTCTTATACCTGGGCTTTTCTAAACGAAGTTTTGAAGTCTTCTATTCCGTCGCGTCGACCATTCAGTGCATATTTCACTCCCTGTGAGAGGGGTTCATCTGAGCTCATGTGTGCTTTGTTGGTCTTGCCCGATGACTCACCCATTTCGAACTTGACCAGGTCTCTTCAGTTGCTTCCTCATTTAATACCGAGTTTTTTGAAAGGTCATTTAGACGGACAAAGTTCTCTACATATAGTAAGTAACGATGACGACCCATAGGTTATGAGCAGGATGATGACTTCAGAATTAAACAACATGTTGGGTCGCCCGGGCTTTCCTCCTTATGGTAGTGTTGGAATAATGACTCATGCCCCGCTCCTTCTTCGGAACGAATGATATTTTTCGGAACACGATACTTGGCAGAGGTCTGACAGGGCATCAAGTGGTACTCAGTATATACCAATGCTTATGCCTATAACTAGGAATCTCGATCTGCTGCTGTTCATCTTTAGATTAATGTCCATTGAAGGTTCAACAAGACCGAATTGATATTTCCGCTCACGCCACGCCCCCCCCCCATGTCCGGAGTCTAGTCCTGTCACCTACCGTCAGTGTTCCTATACTGCCTCCTGAACTCCTAAATTTGAACTCTCTAGAATCACGGGAACCGGAGTTATGAATTTCCGGCCACACTCACACACTCGCACACACACGTACACATACACACCTACAGTTACACATACACACACAGTCAGCGAGTTATATATAGTAGGATCTTGGAACGTTGCCAACGTCCAGAGTTGTGAACTTTTGGTTTTAAGATAACGAATCGTACCTTCGCACACTTTTCGTGGTCTGGACTGTGACGAATCTATAATAATTCAAAGATTCATTTCACGCTGAAAATGTTTCCTGAGATTTCTTCTAGAATGGACCTGCGGCCCCAAACAAAGTCTGAGGCACACTGTCAGGTCGAAAAACGGCCAAGATTGAGCTTTGTAAGGGTCCGAGAACCGGCTAGCAGGGAAAGGATACTGGGTTGCAGTGGGTGTTCAAAATGAGATGTGTACCAACTTTAACACAAGAAGGAGGAGAGTGCTATCCCGATCCAACATATGTGCTTTTGGACGCTGATGTCAAATCCATATTCTAAATCTGCGAAACGATTTCGCGGAACGAGTTCAGGAACATCTCTTCCGTGTGATAAGGTTTTGCGGGGCATATATCGAGGTCGAGTGGCCAAGACAAATGTGAAGAGATAGTTCATCAGGTAAAGGACTGGACTCGAAGACGTGACTTGGGGGCATGCACCCCGTGTGCAAGAACACGTATTGCGTTATTTTAGAATGTTTGCTGATTTGTCCGTCTCACAGACTAGTTGCAGCCACCTTTATCCTTTTCGGACCTCAAGAGCTTCCAACGTGGTTTAGTTTTTACGATTGCTAATGTTTAGATGTTCAATAATACTTGCTCGAAAGGGTTTTTCACTTTCTCAGTTGGATTGTTACGCTTGATGCTCTTGTAGTGCTGCACGAGCCCAGTTTTTCAACAATATAATTTCGCCACTTTCAGGCAGAGTACGACTTTTGTGAGCCGTTGACAAGGCCTCCTTAAGTAAATATCTAGCTTAGTCAAGTAACTTGCGGAGTCTTACAAAGAATAATGAATGTTGATATGTTATAATGTTGTGTTATAATTTTTATAATTTCCAAATGTTATAATTTCACCAGTAAGCAGTGCAGCTGCATTACAAGCGTCGGAAGTCGTCTTTTACCTTTGGATGACCGAGAAAATTTGCATTTTTTCATTGAGGAAGAGCAAAGTGCGCTCGTTGCTGATATGTTGCATAGTGGAATTCAACAGAATTTGGTTGAGCTGATCGCGACACTTTGACAATGCTGCTCCTCAGTTCACCTTCACGGAAACGGTAGAAATGATGAGTGTAGTAGACTTTTTCACGTATTGTCTTCGCTGTGGAAAAACGCTTTGAACTTTTATATCATGCGCGGTTATGGAGGGTTTATTGATTGCTACATTTTCTTGCTTTACGATCACGTCA